AGAATGTGTGGCTTTTTTCACATCTGTTTCTTTGTATAACTGCATATCCCTTGTAAGCAGAGATAAACCACCAGATGAACCAATCTACTTTTCTGCACTGCATTTATCTTATCAGTATACAGTATCTGACATGCATATTTTAACTACATTCCTTTGAAAAAATGTCTGAGGGAACAAAGGCTTTTAGATAAGTACATAGGAAGCTAGTATAAAATTATAAAAAAGATTAACTGTAGCATAGTTCCTTACTACATAAGGGCTTTTAAAAACACTTTTTGTTTTTTAAAATCTGATTTGAAGATAATGACTAAAGAAAAAGAAAAAATCTATTCCCATTCATTACACCAGAAAAAAAAAAAAAAAGATTGAGTTATAGAAATAACAAGAGAAAGCTTCTATTTTCTCATGGGTGTTCAACAAATCCAAAACCTGACAGCAGATTTAGGGCTTGTATTGTTACTATATTTTCTCAAGGACAGCATGGGTTAACATCATGAAGTCAGGGAGGCTACAGCAACACTGAAGTGGTGCAAATGAGAAGTGAGGTTGCTCTATGCACATGGGCTCAAAGCAATTTATCTTAGCCACCTCTTTATTATCTGATCTAAAAATTAGGTCAAATCCTGCAGCTATTGTTTAGTCTTTATCAGATGTATCTTCCAATGGGTTTAGCTCTACTTTTGGTTACACAGGCTCAGATCTCCTTCATTGTTTCAACAGGAATTTTTCCGTGTTAGGTTTTATCTGGTCATTAACATCAGTCCTGTTACAGAAAATTCATGTCAAAACTTTATATTCGGCTTGGTTTTTCTACAGCTGAAGGTAAAGCTGCCCAATCCCCCTCCTTCCTCCCTCCCTCTACAACAGCAACATATTTTAACTGAGCAGAAAAACCGTATCAAAACATATTAGTGACTCACTAGTGCTCCTGATAGGATGTACCTCGAATAAACAAGAAATGTGTGAATAAATAGGAAATGTGTTTTAGCACTTTCCTTGGCCAATATCTCAGAAAATTTGTTACATCTTTCCAGCTTCAACAAGATACATACATTAGGTGTCTCTACTTTGTTGGGCACTGAGATGTCTAAAATGGCAAAGTGAAAATTAATCTCAACAAATCTGCTAGTCCAAAAGGAAGAAATGCTCAGCTCTACTCTCATGGTGAGACCAACACCCCAGGAAGATTAATTCCATGAAATAGGAAAAATGTTTCTTATCAGAAACAGCCTGCACAGAAGGGAGTCATTTCCAAGCATACTCGTGATCCATGAGTGCAATGGTGATTTGCCTTTAAATGCCTTGAAGATTTAGGGAAGCTGGGATGTTGTCTTTAGACTCACACTCTTTTTCTATTTATACTGCTAGCACGGGTAGACTTTGAAAACCATCAGCATCTTTACTCCTTATCTATAGATTACTCCTTTCCTGAATAACTGAAGCTCTTGGTCAGAGCAATGTTGCAATTGATTTTCACCGAGAACTTTCATTGACTAGGTTGTTATGTACTTTCTGACACATGCCTGACCCTGCATTAAACAAACACAAGCCACTTTTCCAGGATGCATATTTTTCACACTTTTGAATTACTTTTCAGTTAATTCTATTACATGCTCAGTGATGCTGGATGCTATTTTTTTGTTTGTTTGTTTGTTTTAATGGAGTGCAGCTCCAGCCCTTGAGAGGACACAATAATTCCAGAATAAGACATAAGGGCATAAGAGAGAAAAGACAAAAAGGGGATGAGAAGGAGATGAATAGGGAGAGGGAGAGAGAAAAGGGGAGGGAGGAGAGAAGCTTTTCTTAGTGTGCTAAGTATGGCTAGTTATGCTACAGTTGTACCTGTCAAGATGAAATCACCAGGTTCAGGGATTAAGACAAATAATACCACTTAAAGAGGGCACTTTACATGCTCCATTTACCCCTCACCTTTCCTAAAGGTGTCAGTGCTCACTTTTGTGCCAATTAAAAGGGAAGAATGCACTGGTGACAAACAAGCAGCTATAGCTGCAGACTAGATCTGCAGAGATGGACTCTTCTGTCCCTCTTAAGTTTTGGACATCCTTGATTTGCTGGATTAATAAATAGTGCATGGACCCTACTTTGCATCCCAGCCTCACAGCACACTGCACAACCATTAGAACACTTCCCAGTTGTGTTGAAAGTTTATAATGAAACAGCTATTATAATGCCAGTACAGATTCAGTCCTAAGAAGTCAAAGTTGTGAACACAGATGAGTATTGATGTATCTGAGTCCAGAGTTTAAAACAGTGATCTTGTAGACCAAATGACATCATGAGATAAGGCATATTCCCCAGATCATCTGCCTGACTTTCTAAAAAATAGTCGTCAGTTACCTGAGAAATTTATTGAAATCTGTGTAACTGGAAATGGACAATTTTGCAGTGAATGTGCTTTTGCTGCTGGTTTAAAATCTGCAGATTGAAGGCCTTATACTTCAACCCTTAATCCCAAGGAGTCTGAGTGATTTGCCTGTGTCACAGCTGTCCAAGAACCTCAAATTCAGGAACAAGAGGTTAAAAAAAAACTTCAGTAAAAGACAAAGTCACATTTGAGTTACAGGCCTATAAAACTCCCTAGTGTTTATTTAATTAGATTTAAAAAAAAAGAAAAAAAAAGAAAAAGAAAAAAAGAGCCATTAAGACTAGAAAAATTACTGAACTGATTTGTCCTCTATTTCCAAAATATAGTGAGAAAAACAGGCAAACTCTCTGCTATGAGCACTTTCAATAAAAATGTGGACACCTGGGAAGAAATGTCAATTGATATAAAATAACATTCACATAATTATTATGTGTTATATAGAAATTAGGTGCATAGTTTTGGCAGCACACAAAAGTAACTTAAACATCAAGTTAAATACACTCAAATATATATATAAAATGCTTCCAAACTGTGTTAATTTAATGGCCATCTGTCAAGGGCTACCTGACAGGACATGAAAATCTAATAAAAAGAGTTAACTTAAGAGTCATAATCTAAAAAACCTGTTCAAACATTGCTAAACCCTTCTGAAGTGCTGACTGCTTAGAAGAAAAAAAACCTGAAATAACTCTCTTTTGTTTCAGTACAAAAAAAAAAAAGAAAATCCACAAAGTTTTGAAAACTTTCCTGCCATGAGACAGTACTATGAACATGTGTAATGGCATTTCTACTTTTGCCAGAAGACAATAATTTTAATTCCCCTTAACCCCAGGGAAATTCCTCTCTGAGGTGTAGTCCTGTACTCAAAAGTATGTGTTCCTATTTCCATTCAGTTACTTGGACAAAAAGAATTCAAAAATGTGTATTTCAATGGAAACTCCAAGATTTGTATCTGGATGTTTACATAGAAGGTACCTCCTCTTTGAGGATTTAACCATGTAGTACTTTCTCAAGAACAAAAGGAGAATTAAGCTCTAAATGGAGAATTTTAAATGACAGAGGTCCTTCCTTTAACGTGTGAAAAGCTTTTTTTGGCTGGAAGAATTCTCTTATACCATTATAAGTTGCTTGGCACAGTGCAGGAAATATAAGTATGCTGCAAATCCAGCTTCTAATGACCTTTTCTCAAAAAACATGTTTTTGCTGAGGTGAAAACTGTGGAAGAGAGACAATTTCAAATTATATATTTTGTTCCTATTATACAGAACAGTATTTCATCATGTGAAAGAGAAATGGGAGTCCCCAGTGTGACTACCTTATTACAAAGAAAATCACCTCTTTGAAAATTAATAAACATTAAATATTTGTACAGTCAAATGAAGATCTGTTTTCAGGGAACTGGTTGCCCTGTGTTCTTGGGGTCTAAGCTGGGACTGGTTCCAAATAAATACTGAGGTTAGTAGCCATGAATAACAATGATGAAATATTAAGGTTGAGATGATCGCTTTCAAAATCATATTACCAATCTTATCACGTGATATGTTAAACGCACACTTTTTTCTTTGTTAAGGAACAGCAGTTTTATTATATGGCTGCAGTGATATGTATTTTCAGCTTTACATAAAAGAACCTGGGTGTTCTGGAGGACACCAAGTTGACTGTGAGTCAACAATGTGCTCTTATGGCAAATAACGCTAATGGTTGCCTGGGGTGCATTAGAGAAAAGTATTGACAACAGGTTGAGGGAGGTGATCCTTCCCCTCTGCTAAGCACTGGTGAGGCCAAACCTGGAGTGCTGGGTCCAGTTCTGGGCTCCCCAGCACAAGAGAGACATAGACATACTGGGGCAGACCAACAAAGGGCCTCAAAGGTGACTAGCATCTCTCCTGCAAGAAAAAAGCTGAGAAAGCTGGGACTGTGCAGCCTGGAGAAGAGAAGGTTTAAGGGGATCCCATTCATGTGTACAAACACCAGATGGGGCGGTGCAACAAGGACAGTCAGGCTCTTTTCAGTGGTGCCCAGTGATGGGACCAGAGGCAATGGGAGCAAGATGAAACAGTTCATTCTGAACGTCAGGGAGTATTTTTTCATTGTAAGGGTGACAGAGCAGTGGCATAGGTTGCCCAGAGACGTGGTGGGGTCTCTTTTGTTGGACATACTTAAAAGCCATCTGGACACAATCCTGGGTAACTGGCTCTGGGTGGCCCTGCTTGCGCCAAGAGTTGGATCACATGACCTCCAGAGGCATCTTACAGCCTCAGCTGTCCTGTGGTTCAGTGAAAGAACAGCTATCACCTCATTTCATAGCTTGCTTTGTTAGTATTCCTACCCATTAGCTTCAGACACTTTTCTTGGGACATAAAAGTACTGTACTCAAGAAATACTGGTTTTGATGCTTTCCCCCCACACAGGTGAGAAGAATGAGATTTCGTTCTTAAGAAGAAAATAAACTGAAATTCCTATGAATATTTCTGAAGGCCTTAGTTTTAGTATGCACCTGTAACTGCAGAAAATACAAAGCCTAACTGGCTGGAAAGAAAATCTCTCTTGAACAGCAGAGCTTCCACTTCTCACCTAAGCTTCATCAACTCAACACGGACAGCAAAACACTCACATGCAATGCGGACGTAGGCTTTCCGGCTCTTGGTGGTGCCTGCAGAGCTCCAGGCAACACACTGGCACCAGTAATCCTCGGGCCCAAAGAGCTCCTCGACCTGCTGGCGGGAAATCTCGATGCTCACCTCTCGGACAATCAGACCTGTCGGGGTACAAGTAACACAGGTCAGTATTAGGCTTACAGGTAGAAAGAAAAAAGTGTAGGTACAGAGGTCCGCTTGCAAAGTTGTTGGGAGACCTAACAGCTCTCTACAAATATCTACTCAGCAACACAGACTGTCATAAGGATGTGAAGGAAAAAAAACCTCCCAATTTATCTTGCATAATAAGGGATGTTGGTGAACGAAAAATTAATCGCTAAGATTTTGACTTTTATCACACATAGAATGTATGTTAGACAAATAAGAGGAACAGTACTTCAGCCAGTATAAATTGTACCATGTCTCTAGGACAATTAACATCAAGTGACAATGCAGATCAGTTTTATTTTGATATAAATATCATATAACCACAGAGTCATTCCATTAATCTCCTTAGCTCTTCTGTAATTTCATCTCCTTTTGCTAGATAGACACAGCATAGGGAGAAGTCCTGACACTGAACTGCCCATGGCAGAAAATGTCATGATGCATACAAGGATACTGTGTAATCATGAGCACATGTGCTGCAGTGTGGTTATTGCAAGCTGCAGGATGGGCACTACTATTGTCATATATGCTACAGATACTGCAATATTTTAAGGAATTTTATAACACAATGAAACACATTTCAGTGCCTGACAGTCTTCCTGGCCCTGGCCTCCATAACGCCTCTCATCACAACCCCCCACCACACCCACAGCTGCATGCACAATGACAGTGACCCACTTGCTATCCTTCCAAGTAGACCACAGTTGCCCACATTTCCCACACAGTTCTCTCTCTCAGGAAGCTTTTTTGCTTCTTCTAAGTGCAAGGAAATTTTGTGGTGTCTCAGACACCACTGCAAGGATTGGTGGTAAAATGTGTTGATCCTCTAATGACAACCACTGTGTTTCATACTGACACACTTTCCTCTGCCTCAAAATGCACTGCCTGGTCAAAAGGCTCTTAATTCCAGTCAAGATACTGGGTGGGGGTGGGAGAAAATGCTTAAACCTCTTGTCAGTATATTTGGTCCTCGCTGGCCATGCTAAGGTATCAATAAATTTCTAATGTGACTGCCTGTAGAAAACATTATTGCCATTTCAAAAATGCGCTCTCACAAACACCCCTGAATATATAAATTCACATACAAGTGTTTTGTGTAGTGGGTCTGATTTCTTTTTTTTCCCTTCCAGAAATGCCAGGAAACTCAACTGAAATATCCTTGGATCAGAGTATGCACAGTTTGTCCCCATCACCAAACACCAAAGGGCACGTCCTTCTGCTGAGCACAGACTTGAGCCTGTGGAGGCCAGCTACCCTCAGCCTTCTGCCTCACGGCTTACAAGGGGATATTCATAACGTGAATGTTCCCAATTGTACTGCATGGCGTGTTCCTCAAGCACTGGAAACCAGGCCAGCCCTTTGATTTGCCTCCAGCCTCACAGAGGCTCCATTCAGGGAGCCAACGATTAATTACTGTTTGCACACAGTTGTGTGCTGTCATTGAGGCTGCATGCTGTTTGCATCCCAAACTTGGTTAACAACTTAACGGCAGAAAGGAATTAATGCATGCAGTACCATAGACTTCTCTGGTGGGAATGCCATCTAACGAGATGCATTTTCCTGTTAGAGACTATCACAGCCCAGCTCCCTTTTTATTTCATTATCCTTGACATCTTTAGCCACTGAATAATCAGCTACTTTGGGGGAAACACTTAATAGCTCTTTTCCTTGAAATGAAATACTTAAAATATGGCAACAGCACTCCAAAGAATGGAAATCAAAGCAGTGCATGGACATTTGATATGCAGTGAACACTGTGTTATAAACTTGTTCTGCTTTGATGAGCTAATTTGGCTCCAAAAGGGGTCTGAGGGATAGCTTTTGTCCTGGTGAGAAGAGCATGAAGAGGGTGGGGAGAGAGCATGTACATTACATGCATAGAAATTGTTATATTTTCCCAGTGGAACTGCTGTTAGCCTAAAGATTACTTCAGTTCATTCCCAGTTTTTATTGCACTAGCGCAGGGAGCCTTTGAAGGTTACAATATTATGTTTTTATAATAAGGCTGATTATGACAGAGCTTGATGGAGAGCTGTGAACTTTGTTACCCAAGGGCTAAAACAAGCAGACTCATAATGTCCATACTGGTAATAACGATTATGATATAGTCTTAACATTCAGGATACAAATGCTGTTTTCTGATAGTCTGCAGAAGATACAAAACTATACAATATATATCTCCCTCTGAAAGTACCAGCAGAACTTTTTGTCTCTGACTTCCTGAGAAACTCTCTAATTCAAATTAACATGCTACTCCAGCTAATGTCTTTTGGGACAGGTGTGAAGTACTGACAGGTTTCAGATTATTCAGGGTAATTTGGTCTTTAAGTAAAACCCACAGTTGGGTCATGACCAAAGAGACCACCTCTTTCTGCTTGCAAGCAAAAGATACCATTTTGTCTTTATCTCTAAGGTAAACTAGTTTTCCTAGAGTTCAAAATGTATCAAGTTAGTTGGTGGTGCCACAAGATCATCTGGGATGTCAGGATCCAGAGTCAGAACTCGAAGCTGATTCCACCATTCCTTCCCACCACTGCCCACTGGCACCTCATTGTACAAACAGCCACGCTGATTTAGGAGAAACCTCTCACCAGCTGAAATGCACCCAGTTCAGCACCCAGCACCCACAGAGAGCTGCATTTCCTTTGTTGTACCAACCTATCCCTTCTGCCAACACACTTCAACATCACCCCTAACAGAAAATCTCTTTCTAGGCCGGATTACAAAAACTGCAGTTTGCTGAGATTCCTCAGATAGCAACTGCCTTGTTACCAGCTGCCATGGTGCTGTACATCAGATTTCACAGAGGAGCTGGCATATTCTGTCTGCTTTCATTCAGGAGTGTATTGCTTATCTATCTGACATGGGCACCAAGTGCAGGAAAATCCTGGTTTCATCTTATGTCTGTTGAACCTGGTTCTGCCTCTACATCAAAGAACACTGGTTAGAGTAATGGGGGAAAAAAAATCAAAAAGGAAGCTGAACAACCCATGTCTCAATATTTCCAGACAATGTGACACGCTGCGCCTGTCATTCAGGCAACTGCTTGTTTGATTATAGTTGCACAACCTCTGAGAGCAAAATTAGACTCACTTTCTAAAATAAGTCCCTATATTTTGACCAAAGACATATTAAGAAACAAGCAATAATTTATGCAGCATATAGCTCACCTGCTACTGGCCAATTCTACCTTGCCACTGGGCTAAGTAACGAAATGTCACCTTCTCACAGAGAGTATCTCCTCTACCTTACCTCCTTTATTAGAAATATATTGATTTTTTCAGTCTAGTTCCCCATATGGCTAAGCTATACAGCAGGTGAAGATATGCAGCTTTTTTTTTTTTTTAACACTTGAGTGATCTGTATGTTTCCAGAATTACAAAAATTACATAGATATTGGAAAAACCCACGCAAAATCAGGATCTTCCTATTTTAAAGCAATACAACAACAAATACAGCTGAAGTGAAATAACAGTAATGTGGGCAGCTGAAATGCTTAATATGTTCCTTCTAATTTGTCTAACTCGATAAAGAGCTGACCAAAGGGATATCCCATACCATGATGACATGCTTAGCATACAAAGCTGGGAGAAGAAGAAGGAAGAGAGGGAACATTTGGAGCGATGGCATTTGTCCTCCCAAATCACTGCTACGTGTGATGGAGCCCTGCTTTCCTGGGAACACCCACCTGCTGATGGGAAATGGTGAATAAATTCTTTCTTTTACTTTGCTTGCTTGTACAGTTTTTGGTTTACCTATTAAACTGCCTTTATCTCAACGCACGAGTTCTCTCACTTTTACCTGTCCAATCCTACTCCCCATCCCACCAGAGGAGAGCTGGGGCTAAAGCAAAACAACCAGTCAAAGATATACTTTCATCTTAACAGGTTTCTGTCCTGTTCAGGATGGAGGATAGTTTACAAGAAGGCTCACAATATTTAACATAATTGGTCTGCAATTATGTCCCAGTCCAGTGAATTAAATAGGTTCTCCACATGTCAAAATTTTTGCCTATTTAGTAGCACAGCTTATTCAATCTTTCATTTCAATAAAATAAATGAGTCTCTGGAACTAATACAGCCTGGACTCTGAAAAGAAGTAGGAAGGAACCAGAAATTTACTTATTTCTGTATTTGCATATTAATTAGAGAGCAATGGGCAGAGAGAGGCAGAGGGCGGATGGAGCCTTGCTCAGTCTCTCTATTGCTCATGTGTGCAGCTGAATAAGCACAGGGAGAGGCACTAGCTGACAGTATATATCAAAACCAAAATTACTACACCTTGTGGAGCAAAAGGATGCGTGAAGAGTGAGTCGTGCCTTATATATGTGGTCTTTTATTATAAGCTGTATCCTAGATACACAATGAAGCAAAGACACACTTCATGCACACGGTCCCCAAGTGCTTAACGTAGATGGCTATACAAACTGTGAGGGTAGATTATCTGCTCTTCAGAGGCACAAATGTCATCTTTTTTAATGTATGCAAATGTAATGTAATTGTAGATATTATGGCAGATTATTTGGTAACTGCAATAATAATTCATGGGTTCCATATTGCACTCACTGAAGTAATTGGCAAATTTCCCAATGATTTTAATAGAAACAGATTTGCCAATCAGACTCATTACCTTGTAGGGAAACAAAAATGTCTCATAAGGTTCTACAACCATATATGACTGCAAAAGACAATAAATGATCACCATAAACATCAGAAAACAGAAAATTATTACCAATTAATCAAATGTTATTATCCAGCCTGGACTCAGTTTAGGTCACAGAGTTAATATCTACACCTCACTGGGCATCGTTCTGCCAAGAAACTGTTTTGATGTATTTTGGCTGCCATAACCGTTCAGCATTTGATATTAATACCCAGGATGTGTGAAAATATTCCTCAGGACTTTGATAGAGCGGTTTTGGTGAAAGTGTTATATTGGCATGTGTTTGAACCCT